CACCACATTTATTTTAAGGCTCCAACCTGACATCAAACAGCCCACAAAATTCCTGCAAATGTAACAATTGGACCTCACAAGCCAGGAAGAGCCAGCCTCCGCACCGTGATCCTGTCTGGGGAGTGAGGTAATCCCAGGTTGCAGCATCAGCGTTCTTGCTTACTTACCTATGTAACCTTGGCCAAGTTACTGGAGTCTTTGATCCTGGCTCATAGATGGCATCCATGAGGCTTGTTTCTTTCCCCCTGGTTTCCTGCTTAGTAAAGTACCTTTATGCCATCACCCCTTGCTGTGTGCCTGGGTGGAGGTGAGGACAGGAGACAGACGGTGTTGCTTAAAGAGCCATGCACACAGCTGTGTTATCTTTTTTTCTGGGAGCATTTCCAAGAAGAGACTGGGCTTTTTAAAAAATGTAGCAAGATAGGGGGAAGTTGACAGGTGGAAAGGGAAGAACTGCCCAAATTAAAGGAACTCAGCGTGGGGAAATACACAATGGGAATTTGAAAAGCAGATGGTAGAGTTTCCTCCAAACGTTAGCTTCAATGGTAGGGAGGGAAGAGGTGAGGGTTGAAAGAGGGACATGCTGACCTTGACCTGCAGGTAGACAAATAGCCGTGTTTCTTGGTTTGGGGAATCTCTAGGGGACCAACCCAGTAGGGTCCAACACCCTACAAATTAGGTGAGCATGCGATGTCAGAACATAGCTGTGGCCACATTCAAGTTCAGTTTCCTCATCTGTGAAATGGGGATAATAGCCCAGCAGGGGGAGGATGTCAGACTGGGGGATAGCTAATGGTCAAGTTTGAAGAAGGACAGAGCAGGGTCCAAATGCCAAATGTCACACAGAGTTAGGAGTGCACTGAACCAATCCTCTTAATGCTGCACTTGGGAATTGGTTAACCACCTCAATGAGAACTCTCCAAGAGAGTGAAGGGAGCAAGAACATCACCTTTGAGAAGGTTGGAGGAGAAGAGACAAAGAGAGGTGGGGTTGCATTGGGAGAGGATGCAAGGTCCAGTGAGCTACTTTTTGTAAAATGGGAGGAACGTGACTATGTGATGGGAAGAAGCCAGGGAGAGGGAGCTGTGGGTCCCTGCACAGCTGGCTCTTCCCACCCCTGCCCTACCTGTGCTTAGCGTCTATCCAATCCCTCTTCCTTAAGTGTTTTCCCAACATGTGATTTAGTGGAGGGACTGAGCACTTTGTGGCAGAGGGTAGAAGAGGGCAGCTGATGACAGATCTAGTGTGGGCACATCCCATTCTGCAAAACAGAGTCCTGCCATGG